CTTTCCCTCCCTCCCTCCCTCCCAACACAATGAGGATGTTTCCCTGTGGAGGCTTCCTGCTGCACTCCCAAGTCCCGAGGGAGCATTTGAGAGTCCATTTTGGCCCCCACCCTCAAATACAGCAGGGGCAGAGGAAGCAGCAGTCCACCTCATGGCTTCCATGGAGCACATCAGGCAGTGGGACTGGCTGATCCAGAGGTTTGGAGCTAGACAATATCTAGAAGGATACCAAGTTATTAATTTACATCAGGCATTATTCACCACATGAAACTTGTTGAAACTTGAAACTTGACAGGCAGAAAGAAGACATCATTTTGTGGCCTGTAAGAAAAACCCTGTGAAACTCCAAATGGCAAAACTGTTTTTAAATTCTCTGTGGGGAAAATTTGGACAGAGATCTGACCTACTCAACATCAACTTTGTAAGACAACCAGATGAGTTGTATGGTTACCTTTTTTCTCCAGCTTATGATATGTCCTCTTCTGCTTTTATTGATGAGGATGTGGCCACTGTCTCATGGAACCACGCCAAAGGGTGGTTCCATGACCACTCCAGACCCTGGAGTATAATACTAACATTTCTCTAGCTTACTTCACAACCGCATATGCACACCTAGAACTTTACAATCTCTCAGGTGCCCTGCAAGACCTTTGCATTTATCTTGACACAGCCTGTGTGTTATCTGTGAGTCATCCAGGGGACTGGGACCCCCCTGCTCAGTGAGTTCATAGGCAAGTGTCTTCCAGATGAGCATATCGTGGAGTTTTTGTCATCAGGCCCTAAATCCCACAGCTTCTTGCAGTCTAGAGAAAAGTGTAATTTAGAGGTTAAAAGCATCACTCTAAATGCAACAAGCAGAGGAAAGATCAATTTTGAGGCACTGAGGGATCTCATGTTAGATTACAGTGTAAATATAGACAGTGACAACCCTAAAAAGATTGTGATAGAGCAGCACTGTATCACCAGGAACAAGCAAAAGTGGGCAATAGAAACCAAGGCTCCTTTGGAAGATGCAGAAGGTGATCTATGACAAAAGAGTACTGACAAAAAATTTAAAAGCCTCCTTTATGGATTTGATCATGGGCATGCACCGGAAGCACCCCTTTTCAGCTATCCTGGAAGGGCATAGCAACTGTGGCAAAAGTTATTTTGTAAAAAGTCTTTTAGAGAATCACAGAATGGTTGAGGTTGGAAGGGACCATTAGAAGTGACCTTGTCCAACCACCCTTCTGAAGCAGGGTCACCTAGAGCAGGTTGCCCAGAACTGTGTCCTGATGGCTCTTGAATATCTCCAAGGAGGGAGACTCCACAACCTCTCTGGGCAACCTGTTCCAGTGCTCAGTCACCCTCACAGTAAAAAAGTGTTTCCTGATGTTTCAGACACAGCCTCCTGTGTTTCAGTCTGTGCTCATTGCCTGTGGTCCTGTCATTTGGCACCACTGAGAAGAGTCTTATTTGCATCTTCCCTGTCTTCTTTGTACCTTCCCTTCAGTCATTTATATATATAGTGTATTTGGTTTATGTGACAAGGTTTTGGTAGTAGAGGGGGTTCTAGGGGTGGCTTCTTGGGAGGAGATGCCAGAAGCTGTCCTCATGTCAGATGGAGCCAGTTCCAGCCGGCTCCAAGATGGACCCGACACTGGCCAAAGCTGAGCCAACCAGTAATGTTGGTAGCGCTTCTCTGATAGCATATTTAAGAAGAGGTAAAAAACTGCGGTGCAACAGCAGCTAGGAGAGAAGAATGAGAATATGTGAGAGAAAACAGCTATGCAGACACCAAGGTCAGCAAAGAAGGAGGAGGAGGTGGCACGGGAGCTCCAGGCGCTGGAGCAGAGATTGCCCTGCAGCCTGTGGTGAAGACCGTGGTGATGCAGGTTGTCCCCCTGCAGCCCATGGAGGTCGATGGTGGAGCAGATAACCACTCTGCAGCCCATGGAGGACTCCATGCCGGAGCAGGTGGATGTACCCTGAAGGAAGCTGTGACCCCATGGAGAGCTGGAAGAGGTTCCTGGCAGGAACTGTGGTCCCATGGAGAGGAGTCCATGCTGGAGCAGGTTTGCTGGCAGGACTTGTGACCCCGTGGGGGACCCACGGTGGAGCAGTCTGTTCCTGAAGGACTGCACCCCATGGAAAAGACCCACACTAGAGCAGTTTGTGAAGAACTGCACCTGTGGGAAGGAAACACATTGGAGAAGTTTGTGAAGGACTGTCTCCAGTGGGAGGGGCCCCACGCTGAAGCAGGGGAAGAGCATGAGGGAGGAAGGAGTGGCAGAGACAACACATGACAAACTCTCACAGAGGCGA